CTGGGGGTGCAGTGTGATCCCACTTCTGTTTAAACCTGTGTCTGTGTACACACGTGTGTACAAACGCATCCATGAATGGGATCTTCTCCACAGGGGAAGGCTGTGCACTACACTTACTTGGGGCAGGTGCTGTCAGTCTTGTGCTTTAAAAATGCCTACTTAGTGTTGGAGTTTACTCCCCAAGAGTGAATTGCTATCATTTTACATTTTATTCTTATTTTATTTTTTGAAAGAGAGAGTTTTGCTATAGGGCATGCGCACTCACCGCAGAGACAGAGAGTGACAGAGAAATCGTCCCCTAGTGGAGAGGACCGCGCCTTAATCCCTTCTCCCCCATTTACCTCCTGGGATTTTGGACATTCATGCACACGGTCACCGCATGAGTTTCAAAGCCTCTGGTTCTGGGACTCAAATGGTAATTGGCCATACAGGAGTCCAGTGCTTTAAAAACTATGCCAACTGCTGCCCCTAGATTTTATTTTTATAAAGGAGGAATCTTAATGTAAAAAGCACGTCCAAAACCCAAAAGCTATTCCTCCAATTTTAAGAAACCACTGGGGCGGCTACATGGTGGTGAAGGCAGGCAGATCCCACATGGCTGACCTCATGGTTTGAGTCCCAGACCCAGCGACTAGAGAAACATGTGTGAGCTCAAATACCCAGAAAGGAGGAGAGACAGAGAAGGGATTCGAGCATGACCATCCCGTGAGGGGAGCTTTCCCTCTCTCTCTGGTGAACACATATGTCCTCTAGCACGCACATGCGTGCTCACAAATGAAACTGCTAATCACGAGACTCTAGAAGACAACAAGAGACCCACAGCAGGCCCTGGGACTTGGAGCCTCCTAAGACTGAGGGACGACTCCTGCCGTTAACTTACAGGGGCCATTAACATCTCGGTCGAGCTTTGCTGCAGCAACAGCAATCCGCCAGCAGGACCTCGGGGTCTCCTGGCCAGGGCCACCACCGCCCCCCGCGCCCTCCCTCAGTCCGCCGGCCCCCTCAGCGGCCCCTCCGAGGCCCCACCTTGCCGTCAGAGGCCGTGTTGATCCTGTAGTGGTACACCCTCCCTTCGTATCGCAGCGAGATGGACCGCTGGCCAGGGCTGCTCTCGCTCTCTCGCACCAAGAAGCTGCCGTTGATCCCGCTGCTCAGCAGATACTCCGCGGCGTTGCGGGACACGGGTCCGTGGTACCAGGAATGCTTCTCCAGACTGTTGACTGGCGTGATGTAGTTGCTCGGGACCCACCCTTGGCCATTTTTGGTTTGGGCTTCACACCACTCCCCATTGTGATTGTAGCCTAAGACCCGGAGCTTTTCACCTTAGAAGAGAAGAACCAAATCTGTCATGTCTGCTCTAAGCACAAGCTTCATTTTCCTCATTTATCCTGAGTACCAAAAAGCTCCACACTTCTAAATACCATTTCATTTTGACCAGTCCACATATGCACGGGCCTGGGCGTGCGTAAGAATGCTCGTTACATGTGATGCTGCCGTTGGCAATGCACATACCGAGGGAGCAGCCTCAGTGTCTGCGAGTCTCATGCCTACCCAAGCGCTGTTCCCAATACAGGGTGGGTGGGTTCTTCTATGGGGAGGGACATTGATGCTCAGGGAGAAAAAGTATCTTTAGTATTTGGTTCTGTTGTCCTTTTGGTATAAAAGCAGAGGATGATCTGCTTTTGCTAATGACTGACTGACTACACAGGAACCGTCTCCTTCAGAGGTGACTCCCTAAGAGGTGCTGACTGCGGGCATCCCTGTGCCTGGACTTTACAGCGGCTCTTCCACGAGCGGCTCCCTGACCTCTGACTGCAGCCAGCATCGCCCACCGCCCACAGCCTTTACCTTTGGTTATGCTCAGAGTGTTGTCTCCACTGGCCACAAAATCGTACAGTGCAACGAAAAGGTTGGGGTCATTTTCACTGGGCCCGGCGAGGAGGTTTTCCTTGGAGTTCCAACGAGCAGCTTCGCTCAGACCTTGGGGCTCAAAGTCAGACGCTACTGGCCGCTGAAGGGCTTCTGGAAGAGAAAGAAGAAAACAGGTAACAAGGAGAAGACTGAGGGGAAATTAAGGAACATTCTCAGGAGCAATAAAAAGCCTGTTTCCAACATTATACTTTCCTAATTTATTTCCCTTCTTGACATCTGTATCTACCACATATTCCTAAGTCGGTTGAAAGAAAAAGAAAAAGGACTCTGTCAAATCTTGTGACAAACTCTTGTGGTTAATATTCCCAAATAGTTTATGCTTTTAAAATTCATTTATTCATATATCTTTGCTATTGTTGAAAACATGGAAAGCCCAGAGTACAGGCCGGCTGCACAGCCTAGTTGTTGAGGAAGTGGGGTCTCACATACCAACCAGTTACGAACCTCAGCCCCGGGCCTGGGGAACACACCTGTGGCTCGTGCACGTGTGCCCCAGACCCCCAGAAGACGGAGGACTAGAGAAGAAGGGATTGCGGCGTGGCCCCGCCCCACCAGTGCTGCCTCGCACCCTCTCTCCGGCAAGGCCATGTAAGTACCGGGTCATCAGAAAAGCCACGACGTATCTTTCTATACAAAAATGCATCATGACTTTTCCGAGAAGCAAGTGAATTTTTTTTTCTTTTGGGATCAGCAGATGGCATAATGGTTTGGTCACTGGACTCCCACGTAATTGACCGTGATTCGGGTCCTGGACCTGGTGGTTTAAAATGTATGCCAGGTGTGTGTGAGCATGCCCACAATCCCGAGGTGACCGAAGGAGAAGGGATTGTGACCTGGCCACAATCACACCCTAGGGGTGTAACTTCTCGCTCTCTGTCTCTGTCTCTCCAGCAAGCACACAAACCTATAGCAAAAATCTCTCACCAAAAAAGAGAGAAAATTCTAGTTTGAAAAGAAAGATCTACCATATGCTTGAGTCAAATGCAAATGATAAAATGGATTGTTTTAATTTTTCCTCTCTATGGATTTAGAGGACCTCAAACATCTTTTTGGGGAGTAATAAAACCCACATCAGGGATGGGCCTGACCCTCCAGCTCCTGGGCCAAACTAAATCTCCAGAAATGTGACTGGAAAGCTTCCAGACATGGGCCTCCCTGAGAAACCCCTTAGAGTGAGCCAACAGCAGGTAAGTAACATAGGTCTTTGAGGGCCCGGCCCGCATGTGGTGTGGAGGTTAAGGTACTGCATTCCACATGGCTGGCTGTGCAGTTCAAGTCCCAGACCCGGCAGCTTGAACATCACAGTGGGCATGTAAGTGTGTGTATGCACATGTGTGTGCCCAAAATCCTAAGAAGGGATTGTGGCATGGCTGTCCCCCTGGAGGGTGATTTCTCACTTTCCCTCTTCCCCTCCCTCCCCTCTGGTGAGTCCACTTGCTCTTTAGCAAAAACAAGACAAAAGGTCTTTCAATTCTAACTTTTGCAAATTGTTAGTTTGTTTGTTTGTTTATTTATTTATCTGCTATAGGGCACGTGCGCTCTGCGCTCGCCAGACAGACAGAGAGACAGAAAGCAAGAAATCACCCCCCGGGGGATGGCCATGCTGCAATCCCTTCTCCTCCATTCTCCTCTCAGGATCTTGGGCATGCACGCACACGCGCTCGGTGTGAGTTTAAGCCACCAGGTCCAGGACTCGAACTGCGGTCAACTACATGGGAGTCCAGCGACATAGCTATTACGCTAACTGCTGATCCCTATTTATTTATTTATTATTAAGTTTACTGTGTGGCATGTGTGCTCACCAGAGAGAGATGGGGCGTAGGTGAGAGAACAACCAGGTCCGGGACTCGAACTGCAGTCAGTCATTGGAAGTCCAGCGTCATAACCACCACACTGCCTGATGGCCCTCAACTCTAACTTCTATACTAAAGCAAGCCTTCAATAATTGTTTTTCTAAAAGAGTAAATCCCAAATTATGTTATTGCTACACTTGGTAATTCTGTTTTATATATCATGAGGAAGAAGACAATTTCAAGGAAGAGGGTCTTATTAAAACAAAACTACCATCTTCTAGAACGTGGGAAAAGCTTAGTGATACATTCTGCCTGTTCTCTGAGTGTTTACACTGGCTCTAAAAGTGCCATGAGGAACAGGACTGATGAATTAACCAAAAAAAGCTGGTTGTAGCAGGAAATTACTTTTTAAAAAAATAATTGTTTCTTTAATTTTATTCATTGTCATTATTATTATTACTATTTTTTGAAGTTGACCAGAGAGAGAGAAGGAAAGTGAGAAAGCAAGCTGCCAGGTCCAGGACTTGAACCACAGTCAGCCATGTGTGAGTCCAGCTGCCTTAACTACCACGCCCCCTGCTGGCCCCAGGAAATTACTTTTTACTAAAATATATGATCCCCTCCCCACCTCCTGTAGGCTGGTCTATTAGTCTTGACTGCAGGGCCAAGGGGCCATACAGGAGTCCAGTGCTTTAAAAACTATGCCAACTGCTGCCCCTAGATTTTATTTTTATAAAGGAGGAATCTTAATGTAAAAAGCACGTCCAAAACCCAAAAGCTATTCCTCCAATTTTAAGAAACCACTGGGGCGGCTACATGGTGGTGAAGGCAGGCAGATCCCACATGGCTGACCTCATGGTTTGAGTCCCAGACCCAGCGACTAGAGAAACATGTGTGAGCTCAAATACCCAGAAAGGAGGAGAGACAGAGAAGGGATTCGAGCATGACCATCCCGTGAGGGGAGCTTTCCCTCTCTCTCTGGTGAACACATATGTCCTCTAGCACGCACATGCGTGCTCACAAATGAAACTGCTAATCACGAGACTCTAGAAGACAACAAGAGACCCACAGCAGGCCCTGGGACTTGGAGCCTCCTAAGACTGAGGGACGACTCCTGCCGTTAACTTACAGGGGCCATTAACATCTCGGTCGAGCTTTGCTGCAGCAACAGCAATCCGCCAGCAGGACCTCGGGGTCTCCTGGCCAGGGCCACCACCGCCCCCCGCGCCCTCCCTCAGTCCGCCGGCCCCCTCAGCGGCCCCTCCGAGGCCCCACCTTGCCGTCAGAGGCCGTGTTGATCCTGTAGTGGTACACCCTCCCTTCGTATCGCAGCGAGATGGACCGCTGGCCAGGGCTGCTCTCGCTCTCTCGCACCAAGAAGCTGCCGTTGATCCCGCTGCTCAGCAGATACTCCGCGGCGTTGCGGGACACGGGTCCGTGGTACCAGGAATGCTTCTCCAGACTGTTGACTGGCGTGATGTAGTTGCTCGGGACCCACCCTTGGCCATTTTTGGTTTGGGCTTCACACCACTCCCCATTGTGATTGTAGCCTAAGACCCGGAGCTTTTCACCTTAGAAGAGAAGAACCAAATCTGTCATGTCTGCTCTAAGCACAAGCTTCATTTTCCTCATTTATCCTGAGTACCAAAAAGCTCCACACTTCTAAATACCATTTCATTTTGACCAGTCCACATATGCACGGGCCTGGGCGTGCGTAAGAATGCTCGTTACATGTGATGCTGCCGTTGGCAATGCACATACCGAGGGAGCAGCCTCAGTGTCTGCGAGTCTCATGCCTACCCAAGCGCTGTTCCCAATACAGGGTGGGTGGGTTCTTCTATGGGGAGGGACATTGATGCTCAGGGAGAAAAAGTATCTTTAGTATTTGGTTCTGTTGTCCTTTTGGTATAAAAGCAGAGGATGATCTGCTTTTGCTAATGACTGACTGACTACACAGGAACCGTCTCCTTCAGAGGTGACTCCCTAAGAGGTGCTGACTGCGGGCATCCCTGTGCCTGGACTTTACAGCGGCTCTTCCACGAGCGGCTCCCTGACCTCTGACTGCAGCCAGCATCGCCCACCGCCCACAGCCTTTACCTTTGGTTATGCTCAGAGTGTTGTCTCCACTGGCCACAAAATCGTACAGTGCAACGAAAAGGTTGGGGTCATTTTCACTGGGCCCGGCGAGGAGGTTTTCCTTGGAGTTCCAACGAGCAGCTTCGCTCAGACCTTGGGGCTCAAAGTCAGACGCTACTGGCCGCTGAAGGGCTTCTGGAAGAGAAAGAAGAAAACAGGTAACAAGGAGAAGACTGAGGGGAAATTAAGGAACATTCTCAGGAGCAATAAAAAGCCTGTTTCCAACATTATACTTTCCTAATTTATTTCCCTTCTTGACATCTGTATCTACCACATATTCCTAAGTCGGTTGAAAGAAAAAGAAAAAGGACTCTGTCAAATCTTGTGACAAACTCTTGTGGTTAATATTCCCAAATAGTTTATGCTTTTAAAATTCATTTATTCATATATCTTTGCTATTGTTGAAAACATGGAAAGCCCAGAGTACAGGCCGGCTGCACAGCCTAGTTGTTGAGGAAGTGGGGTCTCACATACCAACCAGTTACGAACCTCAGCCCCGGGCCTGGGGAACACACCTGTGGCTCCCGCCCCTGTGCCCCAGACCCCCAGAAGACGGAGGACTAGAGAAGAAGGGATTGCGGCGTGGCCCCGCCCCACCAGTGCTGCCTCGCACCCTCTCTCCGGCAAGGCCATGTAAGTACCGGGTCATCAGAAAAGCCACGACGTATCTTTCTATACAAAAATGCATCATGACTTTTCCGAGAAGCAAGTGAATTTTTTTTTCTTTTGGGATCAGCAGATGGCATAATGGTTTGGTCACTGGACTCCCACGTAATTGACCGTGATTCGGGTCCTGGACCTGGTGGTTTAAAATGTATGCCAGGTGTGTGTGAGCATGCCCACAATCCCGAGGTGACCGAAGGAGAAGGGATTGTGACCTGGCCACAATCACACCCTAGGGGTGTAACTTCTCGCTCTCTGTCTCTGTCTCTCCAGCAAGCACACAAACCTATAGCAAAAATCTCTCACCAAAAAAGAGAGAAAATTCTAGTTTGAAAAGAAAGATCTACCATATGCTTGAGTCAAATGCAAATGATAAAATGGATTGTTTTAATTTTTCCTCTCTATGGATTTAGAGGACCTCAAACATCTTTTTGGGGAGTAATAAAACCCACATCAGGGATGGGCCTGACCCTCCAGCTCCTGGGCCAAACTAAATCTCCAGAAATGTGACTGGAAAGCTTCCAGACATGGGCCTCCCTGAGAAACCCCTTAGAGTGAGCCAACAGCAGGTAAGTAACATAGGTCTTTGAGGGCCCGGCCCGCATGTGGTGTGGAGGTTAAGGTACTGCATTCCACATGGCTGGCTGTGCAGTTCAAGTCCCAGACCCGGCAGCTTGAACATCACAGTGGGCATGTAAGTGTGTGTATGCACATGTGTGTGCCCAAAATCCTAAGAAGGGATTGTGGCATGGCTGTCCCCCTGGAGGGTGATTTCTCACTTTCCCTCTTCCCCTCCCTCCCCTCTGGTGAGTCCACTTGCTCTTTAGCAAAAACAAGACAAAAGGTCTTTCAATTCTAACTTTTGCAAATTGTTAGTTTGTTTGTTTGTTTATTTATTTATCTGCTATAGGGCACGTGCGCTCTGCGCTCGCCAGACAGACAGAGAGACAGAAAGCAAGAAATCACCCCCCGGGGGATGGCCATGCTGCAATCCCTTCTCCTCCATTCTCCTCTCAGGATCTTGGGCATGCACGCACACGCGCTCGGTGTGAGTTTAAGCCACCAGGTCCAGGACTCGAACTGCGGTCAACTACATGGGAGTCCAGCGACATAGCTATTACGCTAACTGCTGATCCCTATTTATTTATTTATTATTAAGTTTACTGTGTGGCATGTGTGCTCACCAGAGAGAGATGGGGCGTAGGTGAGAGAACAACCAGGTCCGGGACTCGAACTGCAGTCAGTCATTGGAAGTCCAGCGTCATAACCACCACACTGCCTGATGGCCCTCAACTCTAACTTCTATACTAAAGCAAGCCTTCAATAATTGTTTTTCTAAAAGAGTAAATCCCAAATTATGTTATTGCTACACTTGGTAATTCTGTTTTATATATCATGAGGAAGAAGACAATTTCAAGGAAGAGGGTCTTATTAAAACAAAACTACCATCTTCTAGAACGTGGGAAAAGCTTAGTGATACATTCTGCCTGTTCTCTGAGTGTTTACACTGGCTCTAAAAGTGCCATGAGGAACAGGACTGATGAATTAACCAAAAAAAGCTGGTTGTAGCAGGAAATTACTTTTTAAAAAAATAATTGTTTCTTTAATTTTATTCATTGTCATTATTATTATTACTATTTTTTGAAGTTGACCAGAGAGAGAGAAGGAAAGTGAGAAAGCAAGCTGCCAGGTCCAGGACTTGAACCACAGTCAGCCATGTGTGAGTCCAGCTGCCTTAACTACCACGCCCCCTGCTGGCCCCAGGAAATTACTTTTTACTAAAATATATGATCCCCTCCCCACCTCCTGTAGGCTGGTCTATTAGTCTTGACTGCAGGGCCAAGGACCATCCTTCTGAGTGTGGCTGTGGTCAGACCCCCGTGTGGTTTCTGCCCCAAGTCCTAGCCATAGACGTGCCTCACTGCGGCACCCAGTCCCCTCATGTGGAGGGAGAACTTGCAAAATACCACTGTGCAACCCCACTGCAGAATCTTCCGCAGTGCACATAGTTGTTCTATACCTAATTAGGCAGCAGTTTTTTTTTTTTAAAAAGGAAGCTTTGCCACAGAGAGTGAGATTGCCAGAGACAGGGGAGATAGAGAGACAAGGAGGGAGGGAGACGGAAAGTGTAAAAGCACCCCCCATGAAGAATGGTCACACTACGATCCCTCCTCTGCCATTTCTCCCTCCTTTTGGGATTTTGGGCATGCACACACATCTGCCTGGTGTATTTTTGAAGCCCCTGGGTCTGGAAAACAAATCGTACAGTCGGCCACGTAGGATTCAGCTGCACTGACCACCATGCCACCAGCTGGCCCCAGTAGCAATGTTTAAGTTTCCTGACTTCACTGAGTCTTTTTAAAGCATTAATCTTAATTTTCATAGAAACAACTTTCTTTTCAAATTTATATTTCATTAGTTTTGTATTAGCCAAGTAATGATGACAACAGGCAGATCTGAAATACACAGGTTTTGAAACAAAAGCTGGCTGTCGGCGGGCAGGAGTCGTGCGGGCAGCAGACAGCAGGGGCGTGGCCGCCATGGCTGCCAGGAGCAGCTTTACCTGAACAGCAGGGAATGCGGTCACTTTGGCAAGTCTGTTAAGTAGAAGTCACGAAAAATTACTGCAGTGAGACCAGGGAAAACTGTTAGGAAAGGATCCTTTTGTTTGTTTATTATAAATTCGCTAGAGGGGATGTACACTTGCTAGAAAGAGAGGGAAAGTGAGAAAGCACAGCCCACAGGGGATGGCCACGTCCCGACCCTCTCTCCTCCACTTGTCCTTTGGGATCTGGGCACACACGAGCACCTGGCATGTTTTTTAAGCCGCAGAGTCTGGGAAACACACAGCACAGTCGCCAATGTGGGATCCAGCTATTCATCACCATGTCAATGGCTGGCCTGGCAAAGATTAACAGGAAAGGACTCACGTACCAAGAAGAAAAAAGTAAACCCCCACACTATGGCCAAAATCATGAATAAAAAAGTAACAGAAAATTAAAATACTACTAAACACAGAAAGCATGTGAACACTCACTGATAATAAAAGAATTGCAAATTCTTGGCAAATTGGCAGATAACATTTTTGGGCAGTGCCTGTCAGTGAGTAAGTCTTCAAGGAAACGGGCCCTTCATACACTGCCAGCAGTCGGTGTGTAAGCTGCTGCAATGCTCCAGGAGGGCAACTGGGACATGGAGCAAGAATCTGCTTTTAATTATTAATTTAACTTTATTCATCAGCTTGCTACAGGGTATGTGCACTCACCAGAGAGAGTAAGTGAGAGGGAAAATGAGAAAGCAAGTTGCTAGGTCCGGGACTCAAACCGCAGTTGGCCATGTGAGAGTCCAGCACCTCAACCACAATGCCATCTGCTGGCCCGGAGCGAGAATCTTTAAAGAATTTCACTTTCTCTGATTTACCACTAGTAATTTATCCTAAGACAGACACACAATGATTTACATACGGTAATTTAAATAACAGCACAGAAGGCAAATGTACAAAGCATCTATCAACATGAGCTTAATTAGCTGAAGTTCTATCCAAAAAATAGAACATAGTTTAAAATATCTTCAGAAGAAATACTTAATGTCTTATTTAATGGTTCAGGGATATACCCTCAAATAGTATGCTAAATATTTCTATTGCAACCCAGTTTATATGACATAACCTCAATTTTATAAAAATTTAAAAAAAAAGAGGCCCAGCAGGTTAAAGGTGCTGGATTCCCACATGGCTGACTGTGGTTCAAGTCCCAGAACTAGCGGCTTGCTTTCTCACTTTCCCTTTCTCTCTCTGGTCAAATAAAAAAATAATTATAACAAACAGAATTTAATAACAAAAAAATTCTTTTTAAAAATATTGAAAAGAGACTGGAGGGGACTACACAACAACGTGAACAGTAGTCACCTCAGAGTGGAGGGACTGTAAGACACTGTAAGTGTCTTATATTTTATTACTATTATTGCCAGAGGGCAAGTGTACTCACCAAAAAGAGGCGAGGAGGAGAAGACTCCTGGGTGGGGCACGGTCACACCACAACCCTTCTCTTGTCGGGGCCCAGCTCCCTACACACAGTGCTTAGCCCACCACACCACGGGCCGGAGCTCTCTCCCCTTTCCACTCCATGACATCACGGCAGAATTCTCACAATGAATGTGGACTGTGTTCGTGGTCAGAAAACCATTTTAAAATAGAAAAACTTATCAACAGAAGCCAAATGATACAGAAATAATAATTTGACATGAAAAAGTATGCTCAGGGGCAGCAGGCTAAGGTGCTGGAGTCCCACACAGCCAGCTGTGGTTCCCAGACCTGGAGGCCTGAAAATCATGCCTAGAGTATGAATGCTGTGAGCCCAAGATCCCGAGAGGAAAATGGAGAAGGGACCATCCTGTGGCGAGGGAGTGATTTCTCACTCTCCCTCTCTGCCTCTCAGTGAGACCACATGTGCCCCATGTGGGGGAAGAAAAAC